CCAGCACAGGAGCAACATCAAAACTTTTCATAGGAGCTTATAATTCGTCCGATTTTCTTTTGGAATGTTTTTATCTTTACCAATAAGTAAAAGTTAAACTAATTTAATCCTGATGACAGTATAAATTATTGGCGGAGACCCAATATTGAGCTAGAAACCAAACACTTGCAAGCTACTCTGAAGCAAGGCGGCGATCGTGTCTTATTTGGGCCTAAATGGCTTCCTGTAGAGTAGGAAACCAAATTTTTTTTGGCAGGATCTTGGAAACCAATATGTTCCCTTCAATATAAAATGTTAACTTCTTTCAAAATGTAGAAAACGTGGTCACACGGGATAGTTTGCAAAACTATTAGTACAGCGGTCTCTACTACTTATCGGACTTTCGGAAGCTTTAGCTCACACAAAACGGTCCTAATGACAAAAAAACAACATCAATGTCACCCAGACATAATCATTATTTAAAATTTTTAGCAAATATTGGACTAGCCATCCCAAAAATTAAAAGTTTTGACCAAAATTATCAAAAAAGTAGTGCCTTAGAGGAATTGATTAAAATTAATCTAGAAACATTAAAAAAACTAGTTAATTCAATTGAAACATCATCTGAAAGGTATTCAGAATAAAATAAGAGGTCACATAAAATTGTTTATATTAAATTAATAAAAATAAGTTGAATCAAACGAAGTGCACGAAATAAGCTGCGGCATGAAAAAAGCCCTCAAATTAGTTTTTATTAAAATACAAAATCGTTTTTATAATTAGGAAGATTGTCTTTGTTCAGTATAAATGTTAGTACAAGTACTAAAAGTACTGCGTTTAAATATTTGGATTATCTTCAATCGTTTAGCCACAGGGACGTTTTAAATTTTCGTTTCTTGACTGCACGAAATAAGCTGCGATCCACTGTATATAGTTTGTTTAAAATATATTAAAGCAAAGCAAATTAAATCTAAAACAAGTTAGGAATGGATTTATGAAATCAGAAGGCTTCTAGAAATAATTTCATTGTCTGCTCTGCGGGAATTACTTTAAGGAAAGCCTGCGATCCCGAATAAATCCATCCCTGAGCCCGTTGCTCCTTTCATTGTGTGTGTGCGTGGGGGGGATTGCACTTTCGCCCGCCTTGGCCCATACAAATTTCATACATTTCTTTTGAGATTGCTCCTGTCGCCCCCATTAACCGCCAAGTGCGCGCAATTACAAGGAGGTCCTGGCAGGCTGCCGTTGCGATGTGCCATGGGTTCGTCTGGCTGAGGTAGGGCTTTTGGGTGGATTGTTAACCCCCAGCAAGCGCGTCGCTTTACAGCTGATTTGCATTTTCGGCTGCGCTGCAGGAGACATGGAACGCGGGGGACACAAAAGAGCAGAGCAGCCAAGCGACAGGATGAACAGAAGCTCGAGCAGCTTTTCCTCTTCACGTGCGAACAGTGGGGCACTTGTGGCATCCGCCTGGAATTCTGCAGGACCAAGAACCAGCAGGAGGAGCTCCCGCCGGAGGCTGTCACATTTCCTTTATGCCCCAGCCGTCTGTTGAGTGTTTCGCTTAATGCAGGTAAACGAGTTTTTTATGTTGCCAACGGTGAAGGTGGGCGTGGCCCATCCGTCCGCCCGCTTAATGAGACATTTTTCCAGGCCAGCAAGTGCAGTTTATTGTATTGCCATTGGCGGATAGAGCTGAGAGGAGAGCCGAGGACAAGCACGCGGACCTTCAATTGTCCAGTCCCGGGCAATAAATCAGGCTGTAGCGGTATTAAAATTAACCAGCTAGCTGGCCAATAAACATTATCTGCAGTCGGAAGCCAGTATATGCTGGCGGGGATGCTGGAAGGCTGGCACGGATGCTGGCCAAGACGCCAATGACAGGCAAGTGATGGATTGAGCACACGTTTTGTCCTTTCCGAAGAGCGGGTAAGCTGTGGAGCAGCCAAAAGACTGATGTTGATGCTGATGCTGAGACCAGGACAGGAGCTGGAGATGATGCTGAAGCTGAGCCGATGCTGATGGCGATGCTGATGGTCATGTGTGGACGGCTGCTGTCTTACACACCTTCACCTTCGCCTTGTGTTGTTTTTGCCAAGCCCTTTGATGCAGCTACCATAACTCATCGTCCCGAAAAACACTCGAGTCCCGGGGCCAGAGCGATAAAAACTATCATTTGCCAAAAGGTGAAGTGAGATAGACCGGCCGGGAGACTAGCAGGGATGCGGATCAGGGCATGTCAGCAGTGAGCCGTGAGAGATGAGGGAATGAGGCCGAAGACGGGACAGGAACAAGGAAGAGACTGAGGATACGGCCTCTGCCAAATGCCATTTCACACGTTTTTATCGCGCTGCGACCTGAGACCATTTGTTTGCTGTTCGGAGGCGCCTGATGGCTAGATGACTAGATGACTTGCTAACTGCGAGGACCTCAAGGACCCGTTTCGACTCGACCCCACTGCACGATGACGCCATCGATGCCCCCATCACGCCCACTCCCTTGCCACTCGTCACTCGTCCTCGTCTGTCAACTCTATTTGAATACGCTCCTCCTCGACGGAGAAGCCCTTTGCATATGTTTTTGCCCATTTGTTTATTGTTTGCCCCGCGGGTTGAGGCGGGTCGATGGCGGGTTAGCGTCAGAGCTGGGGGCCTAAGGACCCCTGGGATGCCGACGCTGTGGCGCAAATTATTCATGAAGCGAATGAGCTCAACAAATCTGGCCCCGCCCTCGAGTGGCCTCCCACAGCCAGCAGCCAAGTGGCCTAATACATATTTTTGGGCCCGGTCGAAGTGGCGTAGTTGCCCCCCGCCCCAAACCACGTTTCAGTTTGTCGGAGGGCATATATTTTACATATTTCTGCTGCTCGTTGTCTGCGGCCTCTGATCCGGTTAAATCGTATTAACTTTTACCGCCAAAGCTTCAATTGCCTGCCTGTCTGGCAGCAAGGCGAGGGCGCCGCCACCCCGTCGGAACTCCACAATGTCGCCAACCAACTAAGTATATTAAAAATATATTGAGCCGCTTACTCGTACAATGCCAGCACTAAGCCGGAGTCTATTCCAATTTTAGCTTGGCAGGCAGTCAAAAAACGAGCCAAATGGCAATGTGTGGCGAATGCATTCACATGTGGCATGCAACATTGGCAACGCTTGCGCCCCATTTCATTTAACCAGCTCTACGCTCAGCAAAATATTAGTTCTTTGTTATTGAAATAATCTGGGAGAGAATGGAAATGTGCAATAAGAAATTAAAAATCCATTTCTTGGCTCGTTTATTGTTTTCACAAATTCTTCAATCAAATATTTTTTGCTTTGTTCAGCATTCAATTTGTATAGTATTTGTCCTTTGGTTATTGGGTTAAGTAAAATTACTTATTGAAATAAATAGGATGGGATACTGAGAATACCCTAGGAGCAGGCAACGAGGAGAAAAACAAAACCACAATTGAGGATGACTAGAACAAAAAGTGAAGAAAGGAGACGAGTTTGAGGACAAGCCATCGATCGATTTGAGCTTTGAAAGTCGAGGATCCAGATTTCTTTTCATATTTAAAACATTTTAAAATTATTTCCAAGCATTGATTGATTATAAACTTACTCAATTACTCACAAAATAAAATAAATTAGACTCATATAGACGTAGAGTAGAGTTTATATGTGGGTTACAGCTAATCTCACCCAATTTTTTTGTGGTAAACTTCCAAATTAAATATCGATTTGGCGGCCTTCTTTTCGCCTAGTGCAGAGCACCCTCTCCGCCAATCTTTTAGCTGACTGTGCCCAAAATGTTTATGGCAATGGGAATCGTGGACCCGGTCTCAGTTTCGGCTCCGGCTCGCATTCGGGGGCCATTCTCGTCCGCTGCAGTGCAGCTGGGGGTGGGGCCGGCACATGCATGTAAGTAGGTTTAAACTGCAATTTATCTAACACAAGGGGTCCGGGCCAAGACCTCCTCCGGTCCCGCTACCGCTCCCGACGTGGCGGAGGAAGTGGCGCAGGAAGTGGAGGTAGAAGTGGAAGTGGCATACGGATCAGCATAAGTCGCACACCATTTGCCTTCGGCTTGAGTTGTGCGAGTGTAAAATGGATACGCCTGGCAAGGAAAAACTTTGCATGTACATCTGTGCTTCTGCTTCTACTCCTGCCTTTCCTGCTGCCTTGGGTTTTGGCTTTGTTCTGTGGGTTTCTGGTGCGGCACCGGCTGGAGTCGGTGCGGTGGCGGTGGCTTCAAATCTATTATTTATGCCGGGACATATGTGTTATGGCAACGCTTCCATCAATAGAACTAATTGTTGTTGGCCTGGTTGTTGGCTATAAATTGTGTGTTTGCTCAAGGGACAGCATGTAATCCCAAATGGAAAATTCTGACGCAGGACGCACACACACACGTGGCAAATGATACAGAATGCCATGAATGCCTGACTAAGGACTTGATTTCTTATTGAATATGGATGCAACACATATATATATATATGTACAATATATGCACTTGCACAGTACTGTGCGTATCGCCACCATAAACAGTTCGAAGAGATTAGAGCTCCCCCTGTTGGCAGTGTGAAAGGCAATCGCCAGTGACATCCTCTTGAAGGGGCGACAAGATGGCTGCTTCTGATTGGGAAATCGATTTGTGGGGAGCTTGTTGCAAGTTGCAGGGCCCCCCTGCTGCACACAGATTGATGCGGACATCCATGATTGCACAGGGGGTCCTTAAACAGGACTGGTACTCGAATCGGAATGAGCAGCAATTGCATGCTTTAGGGCTTTAGTCCTGCTATAGTAACTGGCCAGCATTTTTTGATAATTCACTAAATCCAAAACGAACTAATTGAAACGTGACTTTTCCAATCCCAAACAGGACACTTCCTGGACGTAATTAAAATGTCCTGGTAATGAAGAACCTCTTTACTGTATATCCTCGACTAGTGCATGAATCGAAGTACAAACAAAAATAAAGATACACAAAAAAACTGTGAATAAGAATACTTCTACGTTTTGTAGACTCTTCCTTTCTTGCTTTTATGTTACAATTTTAATTCCTTTTACTTTAATATAGTGTTCCTTGTTGGCCGCACGATTAGTTTTCCCATTGGGACTTCGCTTCAGGGAGTCCACAATCAGGCAGCCGTCATGCAGTCTCAGGTACTGGGTAATCGCATGTTGAGCCACATAATCAATCACCTCCTGCTCAGTCAACTGAACATCTGGTTTTCTCAAGATGCAGGCTGCTGCCTCGTCTCCGTTTTCCACATTCCAAATTCCAAAAGCACACGCCTCCACCACGCCGGGCATTCTGGAGATCAGTTCCTCCAGTTCGTGCGGATAATACTTGTTGCTTTGGTACTTTAAAAGGTCCTTCTTTCGCTCCACGATATACACAAAACCATCGTCATCGACATACCCCAAGTCACCGCTGTGCAACCAGTTGTCTTTGTACGCCAAGGCCGTGGCCTCCGGATTGCCATAATAGCCCGGCCAATGGCATCCCTTGTTGATGCAAACCTCGCCCTCCTCATTGGGTCCCAGATTCTCACCTTCGCCATTGATAATCTTGAACTTGTAGCCAGGACAGGGACGACCCACCGAATTGGGCTTCTCATCGAAATGCCAATTAATGCTGCCAATGGATCCCAGCTCTGAAGAGCCATACGCAAAGTTTATACAGTTCCTGTTGAGTTTTCTTTGAAGCTTCTTAAAAACTTCCTTGGTACAGCGTCCGCCTCCTACGAGGTAATAGCGCAGACTCTGCAGATTTGCCTCCTCAAAGTAGGGACAACTCACAATGGCCGCTGCTTGGGCCGGCGATTGGATAAACCATGTCACCTGGTGTTTTTCGAATAATTTTAGGGTCTCTGTGGGATCCAGAGGTTTTTCAGATATGATACGCTTTGTACTATAGACAGCTTCGGTAATCGTGGCCCACAAACCCGATGCCCAATCGAGGCTACTTGCTGTGTACTGAACGTCACAGGTTGTGAGGTATCTGCAAATAAACATTATTAAGAAAAATCAGGTTTCCGATATGAATGTTTCTCTTACGTAAAGCCACTCAAAACCTTTATATTATTCGTTAGCACGACGGCCTTGGGTGTGCCGGTGGTGCCTGAAGTACTGAGAATGGCCATGGGTGGGTTTTTGTCTTTTAGGGGATTGGGCTTGAACTCCCCTTGAACCTTAGTCTGCAACACCTCTTGGATAGTAATAACACCCTCTGGATGATTCCGCATGCTCACTAACTTAACGTTTAACTTCGAAGTGGCAGCCTTGACCTTGTCGTATACATCGCCATCACAAAAGATAAGTCGAGGCTGGGTGATCTGGTAGAGACTCTCTATAATGTCCGCTATATAGGCGGGGTTTATTGCATTTAAAGCGAAGCCATTGAAGAGACACGCATAGGCCACTGCCGAAATATGAACTGAATTTCCCGCCACAATGCCAACAAAGTCAGACTGAGTGAGCTCCAAGTTTCGCATGAAGGTAGCAATGCGCATAGAATTTTCCAACAGATCCTCTCTTAAAAGAACTGTGCCTTCAGGCTCCGAAATCTGCGAAATGTCAGGATTATTCCGTGGGTCTTAATTAAAGTATTTTGTTTACTTACTTGTGCTATGTCCTTGGGATGTCGAACCATCTCCTGGAAAATGATTTCGCCAATGGACATTGGCAGCATTTTTATACATAGGAAAGAATGATGATACCCTTAAGCAACTTATCTAAAACTTATCTTATCGGGCAGCTGTGCCAAAATCATAAGATCAAGAAATAGTAAACAAAACTTAATAAAGCTACTTATGATTTGATAAAAAAAACACGAGACGAAACTAACTTCTGGAAGTCGAAATTTGTATACCCTTGCAGTCAGCCATAGCATCATGGCATCGAATTAAAATTGGTAAAAAATAATATTATTTCATATAAGGTAACAATCATTTAAGGAGCAAATTTGATAATGATTAAATACGGTTAGGGATCCACCTTGTCTGCTTAATAGGACCTCAGTGCCTGGGCGCTTCATTGGCCCGGCGGGCGGCTGCCCCCCGCCCATAAAAGTAATTATTCATTGAAGTGCACTTTCGTGGTCTGAGTCTGTGCTGCCGCTGCTGATGACTCTCGGATGTCCCGGGAGCATTAGACCTCATCAATGCCATTGAACTGCCCCCCGGGGCCTGGGCAGACTAGCAGTACAAACAGGAGCACACAGGAGGGGGTATTTCGTGGTGGTAGTGCCAACCTCTCACCTCTGGAATAGGGACAAACATGCCTAAATTAATTTAATGTGCCTTATAAATATGTAAGCTGGTCCCCAGCTCAATAAATTCTTTTTTGCCGCTGTTTGTTTTTGCCCTCTGCCTGGACTTGGGTCTCGGCCAGGACCACGTGGCCGCTGGCTCTGTTCCTAGTCCTCGTGCCACTCCCCCCACGTCTCTGTGTCCACCCCCCGCGGCTGTTGTTGTTCCCGACAAAGTTTGCTTTAGAATTTTTGAGCCCCAACTAATTGCTGCAAATTACAAATGATAATAGCCACAACACACGCTCAAGGTTAGATGCCGGCAATTTATTTTGTTCTCAACGAGGCCCCGAGCAACTTCTGGCCAGTGGGTCTTCTGGGGTGGCTCTAGGGTGGCTCAGGCAGTGGCTCTGGGGCGGAGCATGCCTTCCTCACGGCTGCGTAAGAATTATTGGCTATTTATCAAGCGACGCATTGCCCATCTCCTCCCACCGAGCTTCGTCCTTTTTTCCCCAGTTAACCTTCCTTGAGTACTCGGCGTTGACTTTGCTAATTAAATATGCATGTATGTGCTGGACTCTGTGTGTGTGTACAGTGTATGTGGGTGTGTGGGTGTGTGGGTGTGCATAAACTGATTGCAAAGCTGGCCAGCTCTGCCATTAAAGGCGCGTTAATTGCGCTCGATTAATGGCAGCAGGTTAAACGTTAAGTGAAATTAAACAGGCGCCAGGGAGTCCGACGTCCGACGTGTTTTGTATACTTTTCATACGCTGTACGAGTGCCGAGTCCTTGGGTATATTGCGTTTTCTGGTCTGATGTAACTGGCGGGGACATTAAGTTAATATATTACCAGGCTGAGGCCAATGATTGCCATTTACATGTATTTATGTATATTACCCGCACGGCCAATAAAGCAATTGAATTGTCAATAGTCCTCGGGATGTCAATATTTATTTACAATAACCGTAGAGCCTCGAAGCTGTCTGGGTTTAACTAAGGGAATATAGCATTAAAGGCTTTTAATTTGTTCTGTTAAGCATTATTTGTTCTCTTAAATGTTAATCAGGGAAATGCCTTAATTAAGCTTGGATTAAATAAAATCTTAATATGGTTTTGTTGTCATAAAAGTATTCTTTGAAACTCTATTTACTCTTCTAGGTAATACCTACTAAAATAAAATTAATAGTCAACCAATTTAAAACAAAAACACTTCTAGCTTAATATTTATATATATTTTGTTCACCCAAAGTTCTAATATTTTTATAGGATATTTCAGTGCCCTTAAGCTCCTCTATTCCAGTCTTGTTACATGTTTTATGCCCTCTCCTTCGCTCCAATAAATTCTGGCCAAGTGAGCCGCTGAGCCGTACAGAGAAAGCAAGAGCTTTAACTACAGCCGGGCCGGACTTCAGTCAGGAGCCGAAGCTGACTTGGCCAGGCGGGATGGTAAATTTATTTGGCTAATTAAAATATGCTGCATGCTAATGGAGCATTGTCTGCGGCTGCTGGCAGGATCTGGAACAGGACCACAGGCACAGCACAGCACAGCACTGGCAGGCAGCAGGCCCGCATGGCACGTGCACCACCTACAGTGGAGCTAACGAGCCGGAAATGCTGCACATTCTCAGCCGCAGAGCCCAAGTGGGAGCGGAGCCAGCCAAGCAGCTGATGGCCGAAGCGATTAAAGCCGGCTAAATGCATCTGCCATAATGAGTTATTATGCAAGGTGCCGCGGGGCAAGACGAGTTGGAGGGGTACGGTTGCGGAAGATAGATAAATTCTAATGAAATCATAATTCAGCTGCAAGTGTTTTCAACGAGCGTCTGGCGGGGCTCATCAATGTGCTCAGCTCCTGATAATGGAATAACAGCCAACTATCCATCCTGCCTTCTGCCCATCTTGGCCAAGTTTAGTGTGTAATCAGCTCGGCAAACTTGTTCAACTCGCAACCAGAACTCTCGGAACTCGCTGGCCTGAGAGAGGCAAGTGCTTTGGCCATGGCCCTGGGTAACCGCTAACGCAGCAACCCACTAATTCATTAATTACGAAATCACTTCGAGCGAGCTTCCGATCAGAGCGGGTCGGAGTTATCCTCGGTCCTTAAACGCAGGCCAGGCCCTGTGCGGGGAGGGGGTAATGGCGGGGCCAAGCCAAGCCATCAGCAACTTCAATTAAGTTAAGTCAGTTTCCTCATTTCGAGACAGCGGCTGTCGTTTGTTTCAGCTTTGCCAAAGCTTTTTACATCATTAGCATTTCAGACTCTCTCTTAGAGACTCTCGGTGACAGTCGGAGGAGGACTCGGAAACTGACTTCGATCCAGCAGGAGCAGCAGCAGCAGCAGCTATCCCGGGAGCCACCCCATTTGGCCTGGCGCAAATTCGCAAATTTTCCCATCATTAGCATTCAGGGCAAATGAAACAAATACACTTAGAGAGGGGCGACGCGACACTCGGCACTTGCCACGCCTTCCCCGGGGCTGTTATATCAACCGAGAGTTGTTCCAAAGTTAACACAATATTTTTATTCATCCTAAGCACTGCCAGGCGGTCCAAATTCTCCTCCAGCCTCGAAGGAGCTCAAGCTGGAGCTGAAGCTGAATCAGACAAACATTCGCACATAAGCCCTAATACGTTCACACAAGTTCAATTAGTGGCAGAGACAGAGGACCAAGTCCCGAGCTCTGTTTGCTCTGGGTGCTCACCTCCTCCTCCTCCTCATCCTCCTGGCTGCGTATCTGTGTATCTTGATTTTATTATACTTGCGCACTTCCAAAGCCCAAAGCCCAGGCACCGTAGAAACCGCAGCGAGGTCAGCACAGGACATCAAATAGAAATAGCCAGTGGGCACAAACACACACAAACACACACAGAGTCAGACAGGGATACCCAATATTCGGTTCCCTTCCCAAATTTCCTCCTCCTTCCTCCCCCCTGAAGCTAATCAGAAATGTTTTACTTATAAATCCTTTGGTATGCGAACTACGTATCTCATTTTGCGTCTCGCACAATTTACGATATAGACTCCCGTCTGGGCCCCCGCCATTCGCCATTCGCCATATTGGTTTGCCATTTAATGGGGCACAAAGTCGGGGAATTGCTGTTTAGCATTTGCTGTGATTCGGCACGAGGCCGAGGATAAACTTTTTCCGCTCAGCTGCGAAACTTTTAATACCTTTTGTCAATTGATTCGGCGTGCGAAGATCCTGCCTTTTTCCAGGGGGCCAATCGCCCTCTCGGATTCTCGGATTCTCTGGGATTTTTTCTCGGGGCTGACGGAACTAATTGTTCTGGGAATTGGAATTGAATCCGTCCGATTGAAAGGGATTTAGCCGGGTCAAGGGTTCGAAAGGTTGAGCTGAGCTGCCTCGTTTGGGGTTAACTTTTAGCACGGCAATCGGGCGTATTTTTATTGTTTTATTTATGGCCAGCAGCATACTATATACTATATTTAATTAGTGATACGCACACACACAGAAGACTTCCCCTCCTCGCCTCGGCTATGTCACGTATGCGTTGTCAGTCGGATTTGCGCTGCTTATGTAATAAGCCATAAAAAGTTAATAACAATGACATGGCCAACAAAGGCAATGACCAAAACTGATATGGACAGGCAACAATGGACTGAATAAAGGGGCAATGGAATGGCCGGCCGTTCGCTCAGTCATCGAGTGTGGACTGGAGGAGCTTCTCTCGTTTAGCTTCGATTCGGTTATGGTTAAACGTGCAGGATTTATACGCACCAACAACCACCCACCTCTTGGTCACTCCCCTCGGGGCTCCACAGAGTTGGCTAACGAAGCTCGTTGGCCAGCGGCTGCCTCTGGCGCTGCCCCCACATCACGCATACGCCCGGTAGGCGTTGATGAACTGACAATTTGTGTCAACTGCCGCAGCCGCAGAGCAAAGGGCATACGGTTGCGAGGTTCGCCCTCTCTCCAGTCCCGGCAACGCCCTCAAATAAATGTATTTTCGAACACAAACACCATTATTCGTTCGTTCCGTGCGGGGATTCCATGCGGATCCGGATGCGGGCTCCAACTGCTGGCTGCTGCCTGAAAGAGCGATTCTTCCGTCTGATGGAAGGACGATTCCCGGACTCCAAGAGAGAGAGAGAGAGAGTGGGAATAATAAAAATTATTCGTTTCATGTTGCGCTTGGCCAAGGGGCAAAATATTTCACCGCCACAACGAGTGTGTGGCATATGCCACCAGCCTGGTCATGCCTCCGCCTCCTGCTTCTGCTCCTTCTCCAGCATTGCTTCTGCTCCTGCTACACATCCTCGTTCTCGGCTAGTGTGCGTGTGTGTGCGGCAGATCGGCACGGGAATTATTAACTTGTAATGTGCTCTGCATAGCGTTTTTAATAAAAGCCGAACCAAACAGGACGTGACCAGCTGAGGCATCCACATCAGGCTCCGGGGAGTTCCACGGAGCA